TAAGGGGGATGACCCCTTGTTAAATCTCTCCAAGTCCCTAAAACCCACAAAACCCCCAAATCAAAAACCCTTTTTCTTCTTCCTCCTCTTCTTCTTCCCCACTCTTTCCCTTCCCCACCTCACACACCTCGCCGCCCCACCCCAGCAGAACCGACGACCACGCACCACCGCCGCGCCGCCGTCCCAGCCGACCTCGCCCACCGCCCAGAGAACACCCAGCGGCGGACCCGCTGCCTCCCTACCCGCCAGCGACGCCACCCGCCATCCACCCAAGCCTCGCCCGCTGCCACCATCACCCACGCGACCGTAGGCCTCCACCGCCCCGCCGGAAAATTGCCGAGCTCCGCCCCACCATCGCCACCTTGTAGCAGCTCGAACCACCGCCGGAAAAGAGGCCGTCGGAAACCGCCGCCGAAAACCCGCCGGAAAATCGCTGTCGCCGCCGTGCCGGAAAAAGGAGTCGCCGGGAAACGTCACCAACAAACGATCATCACCATGCCAAAGAAACCTCTCGGAATCCGCACCCCGGAGTGGAGCAATGCCGATTACACCGTAATCGGAGGTAAAGCACTCGAACCCGACCAATTCTCTCCGGAATTGGTTGACGTGCTTAGACATCAAGGGCTCTTAGACACTTACCTTGCCATCAAAGGGGACACATACCCCGACTTGGTAAAAGAATTCTACCAACACCTTGTAGCCACCAAACGAGGTGACAAGGTAGAAATTACCACCAAGGTCCGTGGCAAGGAAATTGTGCTTTCCGAGGACCGGTTGGCCAAGCTCTTGAAATTGACCACCACGGGTGTGTCTGACTATGACCGAAAGGGGTGGATTGATACCCAAACCACGGGATACAAGGACTATCTTGGGAACTTACTCGGGAAAGAGGACGGGTTCACCTCGGCCACTCGACCAAACCGAAAGTGGCTATCGGCAGAGCAAAAGATATTGGTTATGATTGTAACCGATAGCCTCTTGCCCACCAATAACAAGAGCAAGGATGTGGGGAGCTTGGAGTGCACCTTTGTGTATCTCCTAAAATCAAGTTCAACCTGCCGGCACTCATGCTAAAGCACATAGAGTTCTGCAAAACAAACAACCGGCTTAGCCTACCCTACGGGATGATCCTAAGTTGGATCATGGAGAAAAAGGGGGTGGACCAAGTCACACCGAGGTCAAAACCGCCAACGGCATGGTTTTCAATGCCCAAAACCTCCGCCGCAACGACATCTACTACACCTAGGGAGGGCACTATCTCACCCTCGAAGAAATTTGCCAAAAACCCGAGGAGGAACGTAGGGAATTGGTTGATCGATTGGACATCTCCAACAAAAAGCTCAAGCGAGCCATGCAAGATTGCGGAGGTACGGAGGGAAATGAGGGACAAGAAGAGGAAGACGGGCCTAACCCGTCAGTGCACCCACAGCCAGGAGGGAACCCGAGGGGACAAAACGAGGGTTCGGTCAACGAACGCATACTCGCTCAGCTCGACCGGCAGAATCAAATCATGGAAGAAGGGTTCTCATCCTTCATTCGCACCACACGCGCACTCGATCAAAGGGTAGCAGCGATCGAGGCCGCCTTGGGCACTCGCGGTGCATCCAGTTCCAGCGCAGGAAACCGAGGTACAACCGAAACATTCTCTATCACAACACCATCAAAAGTTCAGCCTACCCCAAGCCAAGACAAACTTAAGGCCGCAACCTAATCAGGAGGCCGAGCTACGAGGTGTCTAGGGGTGAAAGGATGGACTATAACACCGGGCTTCGGGGACGAAGCCCCTTGTAAGGGGGGGAGAGTGTAACACCCCGTGTTACGGCCCCTAAAACCATTTAATTAATTAATCAATAGCCCAAGAGAAAGAATAAATCATAATGATTAATTAGGGAAAAAGGCCCACCATAGTCCATGGGCCCTCATATATAAACCCAACCCCTAAACCCAATCCTTAGTTCCAAAAGGAATAGAATTAGCGAGCCTATAATATTAGTTCCTAATTAGGACTCCTAAATATATAAATAGGGGACTTAGGAGGCACCTAGAACTTCCCACAAGAAAAACGCCCCACCACCAAAAGAGCTCCAAGAATCCCCTTAGGAGAAATCAAGAAAGCAAGGAAGCTTAGAGAAAGACCCTTCATAGCCAAGGAATTAATTAAGGCTAAGAGGTAACCCATGTCTCAACAAAACCTATTTTCATAGTTATGATTCCCCCTTAGGGTTTCCCCCATATTATTGTGTTTGGCGAGTTATGATAATTATTGTTGATGTTTGATGTGATGATCCCATGAGGGATCTTGATAATCTTAATATTGGGAGATTCTTGACAATTATGGAGTTCTTGATGATTATATGGAGTTCTTGATGATTATGTGTTGTTCCTGATAATAGTGTGACGTTCTTGATGCTTATAAGTTATCCTTACCGAATCTTGCAATTAGAAGACAAATCGTACTCTTGTTGACATAAAAGTGATTAGAACCCTAGGTTGTATCGTATGATATCATTCTTGGATTATCGGGTGGGGAAATCGCATGTTTGGGTGTTGATTATATTTAGAAAAGCATGATAGGTTATGTGCCGTTCGTTTCTCGTATCTGATCCGTTAATTGTCTACGTGTTGTTATTAATTGCGTTGTAAAGTGTCTAAGCATGGTTTCGGGTTCCACAACGGTTCCTGGGGCGTATTGTGTGATAAGAGTCAGTGGGGGGTAGGTGGGGGGTAGGGGACCCGCCACCTACCCACGGCCGAGAACACCTTCCCGGCAGCGGGCAGCCGGCGGGCGGGCAGCTGCCCGCCGGTGACCCGCTGCCCGGAACAGTGAAACCGGCGGGCAGCCGGCGGGTGGCCCCCACCCACCGGCTACCCGCTGGAAAATCATCCCCCTTCGGGACCCCGGCTTCCCCGTTTGATGTTCCCCGTTCCCCGTGGTGTCCCAACGGACTCCGTTTATCGTGCCTATGTCTAGTGTGATGTTTCGGGTACCGTTCGTAGGTTTATGAGTCTATTATATTGCATGCTAGTTGAATTGGTATCCCGTTGACCTAGGTGGAAGAAGTATGAACCCCTTAGGACTATCCTTAGTAAGTGATGGATCACGCATAGGTTTTGTTATACGTTTTCTCCCCCTTCCTAATGTGTAATGTGGGTTGCATGTGCTTGCTATGTGTTATGTGTGTGTTACCCCAATTCGGTTGCGATCGGATTGGTTATCCTGAGCTGCGGTTCAGAAGCTGGGTGCGGTCAGATTGATACTCTTGGGCTGCGGTCCACCGTTTGGTTGCGATCAAACGTTTCTATACGAGCTGCGGTTCGTCCTCTTTCCTGGCTGCGGTCAGATGACACTCTCTTGGGCTGCGGTCCACTGTTTGGTTGCGATCAAACACTATGATGAGCTGCGGTTCATCGGTCGGTTGCGATCGACCCCTCCGTGTTGCGATACGGGGCAGGGTGCTGCGGAGCCGTGTCAGAGCTATATGCGCTGACCCTCATGTATGGGCATGCGATTGGTCCTGTGGCGCCAACAAAGTGTGTTATGTGTTGTGACCGGGACGAGTTGTATTACGAGTGTCTTGGGGGATGTGACTATGGGATTTATATTGGGGATTGTTCATGTTGGGTTATGATCATTGTTTATGCTTTGCCTTATCTGCCTTATCTGTTGTAAACTGCATATGCTCGTTATAACTGCTTGTGTCTGGCCTTATCTGTCGAGTCATTCCCGGTTTTAAAGCTAGTGTTCGTAGGATATATCTTCATGCTCAAAATGGTTTTCGTATATCTATATATATCTCTATATGTATTGTATTTCAACGCGTTGGAGTGGGTTACCAGCATCTCTCGCTGAACAGATATATTTGGCTTTCAGGCACAGAGGACTAGAGCACTGGAGTGCGCTAGAACTGGAGCGTAGAAGTAGAGTAGGTTCCCTTTCGGCCTGCGTGCCATATTATGCATTGTGTTTCAATGGGTATTAGTTAGACAGCCTGTGCACCTGGGTTCTCTAGCCCAGGTGTGGCATAGCACCCCGTACACTTATGATATACTTTGGGATGTAATGAGATATTACCTTTATTATATAAGCTTAAAATGTCTTGAAAATCTGGGGTGTTACACCCCCCCCCCTCTAGACTTTCACCTTACCTCTTTTGGGACCAACACAAATATGGAATCACAAGGCAAAACAATGGAATGATAAAATAAACAACAAGATGGAATCACAAGATAGCACAAATGATCACAATGGATAACGAGTAAAACAAAACGGGCAACCTAGAACTCCTATTGACACATTCCTAGATTGTCATAGTAAGCACACTTCACTTGACACCTATTGCCATCCCCGGCAACGACGCCATTTTGACGAATGCTTTTTCACACTAGTGGGATGTGTGGATGATGGTGGAATAGTGTAAATGGAAGTGTGGAACTCCCGAGTGTCGAACTCAAGGATGGTAAGTCTAAGCAAGTAAAATGCAAGACAATTAGGTGTCACAATGTCTCAACAAGAGTGAACTAGGTGCAAGATGGAAGTGGAAAGGAAACAAGGTTGTAAGCATAAGGAATCAAGAAATAAAAGAAAACAAACAAGTATGTAAATTAGATAGGGTTGAATTGTGTAGTGTTGATTATGATGCACTTATATCATTTAACATAGGTAAAGAGGATGCATATGATAAGTCTAGGGAATGGCTTATGTCCTTTCATAACATAGACTACTAGGACTTGTCTAGGACTTGCCTAGACCTTTCCTCGAACACCTTGCCTACATTACCTTCCCAACCAAGCCCCGTAGGATTCCTTGAGCTAGGAAATGTCAAGGATGGGAGCTTGAATTGACCTAGCAAAGGTCATTCACTCAACAAAATCCTAGGAGTTGGCCTAGCTCCTTGGATGCATACAAAACAATTCAAAACAACAAGACATAGATGCATAGCAATCAATCAATCCCTAATTCAAGAACTAAGTCACATTGGTATCATAATCACACACATCCACAATTCAAACCCTAGAAATCTAAGCACTCATCATCATTACAAAGATAGCAAACACAAGATTAAATCTGAAATAATAAACAAGGAAGAGATGTTACCCAAATCTTCAATCTATTGTGCAAGCATCCAAGAGAAATTGTAGAACAATGAGTGTAGATCTTCAAGGAAATGTAAATCTAACCTAACCCTAATCTACCCTAACCTAAGAGAGCTGAATTGAAAGGTGAGGAAATGGGGAAAAAGAGTTCTCCTAAAACAATCCCCTTACAAGCCTTTTTATAGGCTGAAAATCTGATTTTTCATTTAACTGTCCCGACAACGCGCTTACAAAGCACGTTGCGGGCTGCTTTTAACTTTCTAGAATTTTCGCCCAATATGAAAGTTGTAGCCCTTGAAAATCCCGAACCATAGCCACTTTAATCACCTCATTTGGACACTCCTAGCTCAAGATATGATCATTTTACCGAATTATCTCCGGAGTGCCCTGAAATTGACTATGTTTTGCTATTTTTCTACAAATGCAATAGAATTAGTCCTTAATCCTAATTTCTATCAAATTAAGATAATTAAGCATGAATTAGGCATAAAGGACTCCAATTATAGAACAATTAGCCTATTAAATACCCTATAAAACATAGCATCTTTGACACTTATCATCTATCCATTGTGCTATCTTGTGATTTCACATTCGTTTTTAATAAATTGCACATTGAGTTATGTTATTTTTCTTGTGTTTGTACATATTGTGAAGTACTTGTACTGATTTGGAAGTGAGAACATACTTTGAATATCCTATTTTCTCACAAGCCACTACTTCTAGTTGCAAGGACCTTGTTTTCCTCTTGTGCTTTATAGGTGATTTCTAAAGATGTATTCCCCGTCCTATGATTTTTATGATAAACCATTCCTTGTCTGGCCTTGTTATTCCCACCAAAAATATATCCCAGTAAAATATCCACGCCCACATCATTGCATTATGAAAGAGATGAACCAAATTACCCATATAATCCTTTACTTTGGAATACCCCGGATTATGAAAGCCAATCCTTAATCTCGTTTGATGAAGAGCATGAACGCCTCGAGTGGAGACTCAAAGAATTCATTCGAGAAGCTTGGGAAAACTTGGCTAATCTCAAAGTCGAAGTCCAGAAGGAATTAGAAGAAGAATGGAAACCATGATTGCATGGATGATAGGAGAAATCTCGAGAAGGATCCAATAGGAGGCTAAAGCTGCCGCTTTAAAGAGTAGTGATAAAGCCTCGGTGCTTGAAGAAGTTCCAATTCACGAATTGGAAAATCAAGGAGTAGAAGGGGAGAGCTCAAGTGATGAGGAGATTGAGATCGTGTGGGAGGATGAAGAGCCAAATGAGGGTATAATTGCTTCTACGGATGGTAAACCTCTTGATCCCCCTTATGCCTTTACATTCGAAAATACTTATGCTCATTCTCTTGATGATGCTACTCTTGAATCATGTGGTAATAATTGCTTATACTTTCGTGATGATGATTCCTTTGGATCCATAGGCGATTGTGATAATATCTCTTTTCGTGCTTTGAATGTTAATTCTCTTGATGAATGTGATGATGTATCCTTTTATTCTTGTGTTGATTTTCTTGAACATGAGGAATGTGGTAATTTTACTTTTGATGGTAATGAGGGGTTAGTGGATAGTGTTGATAGAATTGGGTTAGGAATGTTTGATGTTGTCACTTTTGGCAACAACATTTGTGTTGTGGGAAGGAATGCCTATGTTAAAGATGGTGGAGTTAAAAGGGCATATGTTAAAAGTGATGGAGGAATAAGGATGGAGATTTTAGAAAAGGAGAGAGATGCACAATTGATGAGAGGAAAATAAAAATTTATATGTCATACTCCTTTGGCCAATTTTTGCAAAAACCATTGACAGGTATGAGCATCGTCTCTACCTGAGAGAATTTGAGAATGCCCGACACGTATGGGCATATCTAAAAGCAAAGAGACGGGACGCATGGTGCGGTCCCAATCCTCATATGCTTCGATGCATAACAGTATGAGGCGTCGGGGCTAAAGATGTCAAACAATAGTGCTTCTTGGGAGGCAACCCAAGGAAATTAGCTATAGTTTTTTTATTTCGTTCTTGCTGGTTGCATTCTTCTTGTTCTTGAGCTAACATTGTAGGGAGAGTCAGCAAGAAGTTTAAAATGATCAAAGTGGGAGCCAAATCTCAAGGAAAAAGTGTTTGGAAGGAGTTCGGGACAAAAAGGAAGCTAAGGAAGAAAGGCGAAAGGGACCTCACTACTGGGTCCAATTTACACGTGTGACGCGTATGTAACAGGAAGGCAAATGGGTTCGGCAACCCATTTACGCAACTGTCACGGCGTGACAGGGCGTAAATGGGAGGCCAAAACCATTTTTGCCCAGTCACGCCGTTGTCACGGCGTGACACCCCAGTCACGCAAGAAGACTTCTTCTCTTAAGAAGACCAAGTCTTTTTTCTTTCCTCTATGTCCCATTAACTCCCATTCACACAAAGAAATTCTCTCACACGCAAGGTTCATTCTCTCATCACTCTTTTCTTCATAACTTTCTTATTTGCTTGGATACCCACTAGGCTCCCATATCAACAATAAGGTAACCATCTCTCACCCTCCATTGTTGTCTTCTATGCAAGCTTTCTCTCTCTACACTTGATTTAGTGAATAAAGAATTCTTGAACGAAATGTGCATACTTGTGAATAGTTCTTTGTTCATACTAGTTTGAAATTGTATTTGTTGGAAATTCAATTTGTTCATGAATACATATTCTTTCAATCATATCATTTTGAAATTGAATTATAGGCCATATACTTTTGCAAATTGAATTTGTTGAGCTAAGTTTGATCATGCATGAATACTCTTTTGTTCATATCATTTTGGAAATTGGAATTATTGAGCTTGAACTTGTTCATGTATGAATATCCTTTGTTCATAACTATTTTGAAAAATTGAATTTGATTGCCATATTATTTGAATATTTAATTTGTAGAAAGAAAAATGTTTTTGTGAAGTTGATAGTATTTTGTTGAATTCTTGCTAGTTCCATTCGGTAGAATTAATTAGATAATGTGGCTACTTGATCTTTTTATTGAAAAGAGGTGAAAATCATGTTCCTGTATTGAAATGTCAATGCTATATATGATATGAAAAAAATAAATTATTAAAATATTATATGATATTTTAACAATTTCTTATTATAATAAAGTATGTATGGTATCTTGTATCAAAATTTATTTTATATTGAATTCGAGATTAAATCTTGAAAAAAAAATAACCATCAAAATTGTCAAACTTTATAAATATCGCATTCTTTAAACTCCCAAAAAAATACCATGATATACATAGAAAACAAAGAATACATTGTGCATTTTATATGAGAATTTGTAATAACTACAAAAAAAAAAAAAAAAAAAAAAAACACCCTTTAGCTTATATAAAATTAATTAACTATGATGCCCTAACTCAAAATGGCCGGATAAATTATTTGAGTGTACTACATACTTATATCAAAGCATCACACTTGTGCAAGACCATCTCACGGACTCGAGACGAGTTTAATTTGGTCGGGTCAATATGTAAATGTAATAGTTATATTGAAATATATATATATATATATATATATATATATATATATATAATACTAATTAGAAATAAAGTGTTTGCTACTTATAAGGGAATATGTAATATTTTTGAGAAAAATGTAATACTTTAAAATCAAAATGTAAAATTATTACAATTTTCTTCAAAATAAAGTAGTATACTTCCCTTATATAAGTAATATAATGTTGGCAAATGTTTGTTACTTATAAAGAAACTAGTTTTACACGCGTATTGCGCGAATGAGTTAATGCACAATGTTTATAATTAAATAAATATTTGAAAGTATATATTATATATGAGAAGTTCATACATAAGTAATTTAATGTCGAATTTGTTTATTTAAATATGTAACTCATAGTATATGAACACAATGTAATATAGGAGATTTATTATAATTAACTAATTGTTACTAAACTTTTTTTTTAAAATAGTAAACCAAGTATTTTTGTTGCAAAGGGTTCTAGTATATTTAATGAATGCACATATATACAAGATCAATGAATGAATCAATCCTTTAGGTGTTTTGCTCAGTGTTCATTTAGTTCAACCATTATTGTTGAATAAATTATTATGGATAAAGAAATTCCTAATTTAAGAAATTTAGATGTAGTAAAAATTCAAATTTTTTAATTATAATGTAACTCAAAGATATTGGACGATTTGTAAATATGATGTAATCCAAAGATCAAAATGCTAAAGAAAGTGTTTGGTTATTCAACAATTTGAAACAACAATTTGTTCCAAACCACTGAAAATACAAACATTGCAATTTGCAATATTTTCTCTTAGCGTTTTTTAGAATGATTTCCTCAAAACACCTCTATATTTAAACTTTTTTTTTGGTGTAAACCACACATTATGGTCCGGGTCTTTCCGCTCCGGGAGGCACAGAAGCTGGCCCAAAAGGAATCGTCACTTGTGGGAATCGAACCCGGGTTATCCCAAAATTCTCCCACACAAACAGAGCTCATTTGCCACTTGAGCTACCCTATTGGGTTAAAAAAAAAAAAAAAAAAAAAAAAAAAAAAAAAAAAAAAGAGTTTACTGTAGAGCCATTTCGACTCCTTAAATAATAAGAGCCAGTTTCGCTGGCTCACTGCTTGCCCATCAACGGATGGGCAAACTTAATTTTTAAATTGGAGCCTTAAACTCCTTTTAAAGGAGCCTCAATGCTCCCATGCCACTTTTTCCACCGATGTGGAAAAAGTTGCAAAACTAAGGAGAGCCAAACGTTCGGCTCCCCATATGTTTTCTTTTATTAAATTATTATTATTATTATTATTATTATTTTAGAACAATTATTATTATTATTATTAAATATATGTATACCCTTAGGTCATTTTACATGTTAATCTAAATAGCTAATTTTTTTCAAATATCTTTTTACCAACTGTTATATAATTCGTTGGTGAAATTCGTTAATATAATCCACTAACACTAACCGCTAACTGCTAATTGTCAAACAATGACATTGCGAGGTAGTTTCCCACTTCAATTTGTTGTGTGATTTGAATACTCTCTTTGTCAACAAATCCCTCAAGTAGTTAATATTATTGACTTTGTTAATTATATATTTTTTAAATTTTTTCATGGTATTAATAAAATACTTGGTAAATAAATATATATCATTATTTTGTATTATAACTTTGATATTTAATTAAAAATAGTGCACAAACAAATAATAGACAATGGTAAATATAATTAATTGATGAATTTGAATTTAAAGAATTTTTACATTGGAAAAAAATATAGACAATATAACTAATGAAATTATTTCTCTTAATTAATTTATTGATAATGAATAATTTTTTTTGAATAAAGACATTGTAGGGACAATGTAGCGAATATAATCAATTGATGAATTTGAATGTAAAGAATTTTTATATTGGAGAAAAATAAATACAATATAATTTCTCTTATTTAACTTATTGATAATGAATAATTTTATTTTTTTTGAATAAAGGCATTGTAGACACATAATTCTAAATTAAAGAAATGCATATGTATTATTTTTTGTTGTATCTACTAAATTATTATTTTAATTTAATAAGAGTAAATTAGAGTACTAATTATGCCAACTTTGGTTGGGATGGGGTTTGAACCTAAGACCTTTCTTATTGAAATTAATGAGTAAGTTAACGGTGAACTAATAGAAATTAACGGAAAAGATAATATTTATCGGGAAAGTTAACGGATAATCATATCTACTACCTATCTACTATACTAATAAGAGCCCAAGAGAGTTAGGCCTATAATGGGTAGAAAAAATGGCGGTCAAATTTTTTAATCAAATGAATGGCTAAGATTGATCAGATTTTAATTTTTCCTTAAGATTTCCTAATTTATCCTTAATGAATATGATTATCTGTTAACTTTTCCGTTAAATATTATCTTTTCCGTTAATTTCTGTTAGTTCACTGTTAACTTACTCATTAATTTTAATAAAAAAGGTCTTAGGTTCGAACCCCATCCCAATCAAAGTTGGCATAATTAGTACTCTATTTTACTCTTATTAAATTAAAATAATAATTTAGTAGCTATAACAAAAATAATACATATGCATTTCTTTTTTTTTTATAGAATGGAAGGGGGTTACCCAGGGGGGAACATAGGCAATTCTAGTTATTACAAGTATTACGCCATACAGGCAAGCCAGCTGCATCTTCTTCTAGCAAGCCATCAATTTCTTGAGGAGCTTCAGGGAGGATCTGTAGTCTACTTGATTGGCTTAGTGATTTTTTAGCCAAGAAATCAGCAATACGATTTTGTTCACGGGATATGGCTGTAACCTGCCACTGCTCTATCTTTCCTAATTCTTGCTTGCAAGCAGCGAGAATGTTGTGCGCTGCAATCGTCGGAGGATTTGAGGCATTCATAAATTTGCTGTTACTTCTGAATATGTTTCAAAGAGGACTTTACTGTATCTACCCGCAATTGCTAATTGGATTCCTTTCAAGAGAGCCCAAGCTTCACTTTCCATGGATGTACACATACCAATCACGTACGTAAAGCCATTGATCCAGGCTCCATCCGAGTTCCTGATGACTCCACCGGTGCCTGCAGAAAGTGATGAAGGCGATACTGATCCGTCAACATTAATTTTCACATAATCCTCCGGAGGTTTTAACCAGCAAAGGTTCCTCCATAACAGTCGGTCATCCGGAATCTGAGGACCTCTGGCTCTCGAAAATGCTCTGTTAACCTCTTTTATCTGAGTATTCAGAATCGTTAGCTTCATGGACAGAGGTAAGATTTTATTGTTGAAGATAGCTTCGTTCCTCCACTTCCATAACCACCATAGAGTGATTGCAAAAGTGGATGCCTTGGAATGTGGTCTTCTGCTTCTTGTATCCTCCACGATCCCTTCATCTAGCCAATTGATTAAAGGTAGATGTCTGAGCTTTTCATGTGTCTCGGGCAGTACTGAACCCCAAATTTCTTCGGCTGCTGGACAGAAGCGTAGTATGTGGTCGCAATCTTCCGTAGTGTTCCTGCATAACCAGCATTTATCGCATGTAGTGAATCCCCGTTTGAATCGGTTAAGGTTGGTCATTAACTTGTTATGCCTGGTTAGCCATAAGAAAGTGCGAATCTTGTTAGGCAGCTTCAACTTCCAGATTTTGTTCCATTTAGCAGAATCTGGGTGGTTCTCGGGGCCCAGCGCAATGTCATAGGCCGATTTTATGGAGAATTCTCCGTTGAGCTCTCTAGGCCAGCTTCTAATATCATTCATGTCAGGTTCGTTGATGAGGATCACAGCTGCGAGTTTATTGCAAGTTTGGTCTGGAAGCAGTTGTGTCAGTTGGTCCCAACACCAGCTATGCTCATGATTCCAATAGCTACTGACTGATCTATCATGTGCTGTTGCAGGGACTACTCCAGAGATTAGCTCCAATAATGGTCTGTCTTCGATCCAATTGTCTTTCCAAAATAACGTGTTGTTTCCATTTCTGGCCTGCCATCTGGACCCATTCTAGATGATAGGAATGGCTTTGTAAATGTCTC